AAGAAGGCTATTGAAAGAGTAACACATACCATCCCTATTGTCTACAAGAAATCCTGTACTTAATAGTAGTTACTCCCTTCGGTAATTTATTCTCTGCCAGTTTCTTGCCAACTGATCTATTTTGGGTCATACTTTTGCTATGTTTAGAAAAAAGATTGTTACCAGAACATAATCAAATATCTAGTGATTAGACAGCTTTCACATCTTTATGTATAGTTATGACAGATTAAGGGAAGACAAAGTTCTAATGAATCCAAATGAAAGGAGTAAGCAGGAAACCAGCTACATCCAATTCTGCCTGTTCTTTCTCATGTCACCATTAATTAAATCTTGAGTAATAATTATCCATAATAAAGTTAACAAAGAATACTTTACCACATCATGCCTCTCACTCAATACAGAAGTTTGTACAGCAATGATTCCTAGGATCGTGTCTTTGTACGGACTACTAAAACAAAACACGTGGTCCAACCTAAAGCCCTCCTTTGGGCACAGGCCCTCACCATTCTCATTGCTATCAAGGCGATCCCAACACATAGCCAGTCGTGTGTGTTTTCGAGACTGTAAGTCTTTCTCTGGCAACCTCACTGCCCTTTCAGGTAGCAGCCCAACCCACTAGGCCCCGAAACATTTCACCCATCTGTGGGAGACAGGCACACTTGGAAGGACAATCACCAAACTGTTAAGCATAATTTGGAATTTTAACAAAGATATCACTGGTTATCAGGAAAAGACAATTATTTCCATTCTTGGGTTGGGGAAAAACCCACAGCAAACTACTCAAGACAAAAGTTGCTTACCTGTCATTGCCTCGTAACATTTTGGGGTCAAAGTATCTGTAGTCATCTGTTTCCTTTTTAAAAAACAAACAAACAAACAAGGGTACTTGACTACAGGTATGAAATTTCTTCGTTAGGAATTCACAATTTAGTAGGGTGCACAAGCACCACCATTTGCTGAGTACTTACTATGTGCTAAGCATTATTCTAAGTAATTTATATGAATTAAGTCATTTAATCCCAATAGCAGTCTTATGATGTATTTTCATTGTTTCTCTGATGGTCAATTTGGGGGTAAATGGGAGGTTATAAAACTTACCTGAGGTCAGATAATTAGTTGGGGGAACTTGAAACCGAGCACTTAACCCCTATGGCATAATCTTTCAGAAAAGCATGACTTTTTATTGACCTAACTGTAGGTCTAAAATAAGACAAAGTATATGAAAAGAGTCTCAACTTGAATAAGGCTTTGCCATCAGGTTCTAAAAAAATCTTTCAGAAATTGTTGGCAATACAGTACACGTGATCCTGCTAATCAATCACAGCACTGGAGAACTCAGATTAGTGTCAGGCTCCTTCAACAGGTAGCTCCAGAAAAGTGCTACCAGCCTTAATTTCAAGATGAAACTCACCTACCTTACCTTCAATCCTTTTTTACTTTATTCAACTTGGAGAAATCAGAGCAACTAACTAGTAAAGATGATCAGAATGCACCTAGACTTAGGTTATACCATTCTGAAGGTTCTGATACCGGAAAATGACAGACTGGTCAGAGTGTGCCCAAATCAACGTTCTCATCTGGATGAAGAAATGCTGTCAGAGCAGAAATGAGCCCTAGGTCGGAAAACAGGAATAGTGGGTTTTAATTTCCGATTCCACCAAAGCCGTGTGACTTGGAAAAGGCCCTTAACATACATCTCTTGGTTTCATCTGTTCCAATGTGAAAATGCTTTCTTTAAACTGCCCTACCCCTTTCTGTGATTCCATGAAAGGTGTGAATTTTGGCCTAATTATTATTGCAGCATAGTGGTTAAACATGGTCTGTGTGTCCTTGGGCAAGATAGCTGACCTCACTGTGCAAGTTTCCTTAATTGTAAGGTGAGAATATATTTTTCAGATGACTCTAATGAGGATTAAAGAGAGATGCTGAAAATGTTTTGATTAGCACCTTGCACACACTAAGTAATAAGCATTAGCTCTATTATTAGTCTTTACCCCAACTTCAAAGATTAAGGGCAGAAATAAAGTCTTTTAAATCTTTATTACTACTGGGATACTATCTTTCAGAAATGTACTGCCTATTATGAACCATAATCTAGGACAATTAGCTATAAATACACACCTCAGGTTTTTAAGGAAAGCCCTTCAAATATTCTCAGAAGTCATGACAAAATGTATACTACATACCACTTTATAATTGTAATTACCTTTTTGGGGATGCTTTATTAGACTATATGTAAAAATGTCACATTAATCTGAAGATTCTCTACCTTAGCCTGGACTCTGACGATGCACTGTCAATCCATAGAGATCTAGATCAACTCAAACTGGGGTGTCCTGGTATGCTTAAGATCATGCTGCCTTTGTTGATTCCAGACTCTGCTGAGCAAGCCAGACTCTCTCTAATTTTTACATTTCTCTCTTTTAGGAAATGTGAACATTATTTACCCATTCATCTAAAAATATGACTCAATTTTAGTACAATAAAATTCAATGCCATCTGAACATAGCCATGTAAAATTATGTTGGCCTGGTGTTTTTTTTCCTAATATACCAACTGCTAAGCAGCTCACCATTTCCCTTTCATTTACAGAAACTTGCTCATGTTTTATATTGAATTACTCACATAGAATATATTCCACATTTAATTTAGGTAAGAGCCAGTCAGAGTGGTCATAGCAACTGAAGAAACCAGCATCAGTGATATTGGCTTAAAAAAACCTCTCTTCCCTTCTTATTGCCTCTTATGCTATACTAGCCAGTGTTATGTTTTATATATATATATAAAACCATTTTATTGGGTCAATTGTATCAGACATATATTGCCAATGTTCTTTTCTAGATAAGAATTTATATTTTACAAGTAAAATGTTATTAATTACTTACTGGGTTTGATTTCATCTCCATGAGGTTGTCTAAAATTCGAGTAACAGGTAGATTCTGTAGAAGAGATTAGGAAGCATTTGTTAAACATTAGAATAACAAATCAGAGTTCTCTATTAAAAACCTAATCATGCTAATTAATATACACAAAGCCATTTTACAGTTAAGTATACCTACTTTTCATTAATTGACACTACATGATTACATAGGCTCTCTAATGTGCCAGGTATAGTCAGTTTTAGAAGAAATTTTTTACTTCATTTGCAAGCTTTTGTTGATTATAAACATTTGCTTTCTGATGATAAACATTTTCTTTATAAATGCAGTAAACTTCTAAAGTTCGTGAAGATGGACATAAACACAACTTCACGGATCAATTTGCCTGTAACGGAGAAAATTCCGCTTTGAACATGGTATGTACAACACATTGGTGCTGGTGGAAAACGGCCTCACTCGTGCCTTGGAATGTGGACTATGATTCTTACATTCAATCTGACAGTTTGATCAGCATTTGAACATAACAACCTACGGCGCACAGGCAGTTTACTAAGTGGCTATTCTGCCATTTAAAGGACAAGCTTACTGAGATGATGGTATTCTTCATATTTTGAACAGGTATTTCCTGTGAACTGTACAGGATGTTCTGAAAAGGGCAGTTTTGTGTCTTAGAGACTTCTTACATCAAAGACAACATTAAATCTGATTGTTTAAAAAACTGTAACATTACCATTTTACAAAGAGATTGAAAGGAATTTTCCATTAAGGGAAATGCATTTCTTTTCTTTCTCTAGACCAGTTAAGTATAAACCTTTTGATTTTATCAGGCAAATAAAATTAAAGCTATCTTACTCGGGTATTTGTGTTGGCCAGGAATTTTTAAATATAAACATGAGCACTAAAGGTTCAAGCTGACTGAATGTACTTCCTGTATTCTACTACTTAGAATTAAAAAACAAACCACAAAAAGGCCATTTTAAATTTTTACTTTTCTGTTTTTTTGAGTATGGTTTCTTCATTTAAGAATATATCTAAACAATAAATTTCTCTAAGAGTTAAAATAACTGAGTATAAATCTAAACCTGTAACCATACTTTTTTTCTAAGTGAAAAAAGTATGCATTTATTTGTTCCAGGCAACACCAACTAAAGATGAAAGAAAAATTAGGAATTTACGAACTTATTTCTCTACAGTGAATTGTACTTAGTTCTTTGAAATATGAACGCTTACAGCTACACAATGGATAGAAATTCAGAAAATATTTTATGTACTAAAACCAACAGGAGTGATATATTAATTTTAATAATTGGGAAATATTGGAAAATTGAATATTTATGATACAAATAAATCTCATGCTAGAAGTTTCAATTAAATTTTCTTTGCATTTTTATAGGTCTGTTATCTACTTCTGATAGCCACTAAAAATCCTCTGGCACGCAGTTCTACTTTGAAACATCCAGTGTTGCCAGGTCAGTAGCAATCAGCTAGACAATAACTAAGGTGCTTTTAAGTTTATATCTGAGGACAAAAATCTTTCTTACATTTTGTCTGATCTTGTCAACCATACAACAAACTCAGTCTACCACTGCTGCACCAATATGCACACAGTGACGGATGCTTTCATTCTTTACATTTGAAATTTTCTTTACATTTTAAAGGCATAAGAAATAGAATACGTAAAACTTACAAGGTTGATCAAGTTTTGTCAACTACCAGGGCAAAAAACCATACAATTTTCTTTGCTCAATCATCTGTTACATCTTACTCATCTTTACGAATTTTTGTATACTTCACTAGGAGATACAAATAAAGTTTAAATAACATTTCTTTTAATATTTAAGTATTATAGTAACTTTGTTTTTGTAATATGATGGGAGAAAATATAAATTTAATGGACAAGAGTTCTACACACATGACTATCCTAAATTAAAGAATACTAGCTCTAAAATCTCCAAATCTTACACAATGAAAAAAGAGTTGGGACAACTATTTTCAGAAACCTCAACTGGTTTTATGATCATAGTCATGGGAAAATTTTTGTAATATTTTTCAGTTTCTGTTCACATTATATTTCAGTCTAAGAAAAATTATGTGATGGGGCTTCTAAAAGTTCCTGGAAAAATTCCATTATCTCTTAATTGCAAACCACTCTCATATGGCCCTATAATCAAAATAGCGAATTTCTCCCCTCTAGAATGAGTCACCTGTCCAGATACTATGTCCTACCATCTCCCTTGCAGCTGTGGGCTTGTACTCTGATGCCAAAGTCAGCAGTGGGGTTGGAACAATAGTTGCTACTATCTGGACTCTCAGAGCCTTGGAGAATAAACAATATAAGAACCTCCTTGAAGGAGATGCCTAATTTGAAGGCTGTGGTTAAGGTGGAATGTGTAGACACTAGAAATACAATATATCAATGAGTAGAAAGCTGTCAATCTTTTTTTTAACATTTTTAAATTATAGAAGGGATTTACAAAATGTGATTGGCTACCAGTAACTCAGATGAAGAAGCCATAAAAACATACTCATGACAAGCCAATGAAACACATGCTTATCTATGATGAATGAAAGTGGCTACTGATTTTTAAGAATTTAAAACAAATATAACTATAGTAATATAATAATTATTTTTGCTGCTGTAGGAAAAATGTATCAATAACAGAAACAATGTTTGGGTTAAGGTCTTCATGCCAAATACTAATTTTGTTAGCTTATAGGCAGGCAGATCATAAATTTTAATGTTACTTTTAAACTTTTTTTTTAACCATAAGACAAAATTAAAACACATTAGAAAGCAGAGACTAATTAAAGAATCTTCCAGGTACTATCACCCAAATTAAAATCCACTGCATTGAGCCGATTCTGACTCATAGCAACCCTGCTTCAACAATCATCAACTCAGTACTTCTTACTCCCCACAGCTCTCACTATCAATTTATTTTATCTATATTGACTATGTATCTCTAAAATAATTCTTTTATTACAGTTCAATATCCAACTGGTGCTTTAAGTTTTCTTGAACAATTATCCTCATGTAACTATATTCCATATTTATGAACATTCAAAAGGTTTTATGCTGCCCAGAAAGTGAAAGCCATCCTCTTATTTGTAGCTAATTTATTTACAGATTTAAAAGTTTATTCAAACTAAAGAGAGAAACAGTACTTATCTCTGGCTGTCTCAGTGCTTTAACTTTTCACTTCCCAGACTGCCCCAGAGTTCATTGCAGTACTTGTGATTGTAGAACATAGGGCAAGGGAACAGGAGCCCTAGTGGCACTGTGGTTACATGCTGACTGCAATCTGAAAGGTCAGTAATTAGAAACCATCAGCCGCTTTGAGGGTGGAAGAGGAGGCTTTTACTCCCACAAACAATTATGATCCCAGACGGGAACTCGGGGCAGGTCTACCCTGTCCCATAGGGTCACTATGAGTCAGCATTGATTCAATGGCTGAGTTTGGTTTGAAGGCAAGGTAACTTTAAAGCATTTCTAGTAGAAGATACTCTTTTTATGTATAAATTCACAGAGATTGTCCATAAAAACACACAGATAATGTCCAGCGATAGAGAAAACACAGGGAAACAGACATTTCAAACACTGCTGGTAGTACTATAAATCAAAGCAGGGACAGAAAATTATTTAAGGTGGCTCTTCTAGTCAAAATCTCTAACTCCCACCAAACTCTCTCTCCCTGAATGTGTCTGGTATGAAGGTGGGAGAAGATACTGATATGATTCACCTGTGCATTACTACCAACAAAGCTGCCTGGAGTGTCATCCTCCTGTGTACGAGTGCTCTGAGAAGAAGAAGGAGGGAATCTCAAACCATCAAGAGCCAGTAGTGGAGTGAGTCCTCTGGACCCAAGATATCTGCACAGTGAACCTCCTAGATCCAGAGGACAGTTATGCCATTACAGGAGCAGCAGCAGAACTAGGAGCCGGCGCAGGGAACAGTGATGGACTTCCCAACGCACGAGCAAGTAAAGCTGAATGCTTTTGTGCCAGCAAGTTGTCTTGTGGAGCAGGGTGCCTTTGGGCTTGCTGACCCACTGAGCTTGAGCTGCCTGCCTGCCTTCGGGTTACAGCAGAGTGGTATGCCCTGTGGGTATTTATTCGCAGACCTGAAACTGCAGCTTGTCCTGGTAAACTACTACCCCGAGCCTTTCTCACTGCATTACAACTGGTTAACTTCCTTAATAAACCCTTTAATCATGAATTTTGTCTGAGTCTGCATAGCCATTGCAATATATATCAGAACTCAAAGAACTAAAGTAGAGAATACTAATTAAGTCTGTACAATCAATATATGATCCAGAACAATGAAAAATGTTTACAAATCTTGGTTTCATAACCAAATTCTAGGAATTTACTTAATATGATAATCAGAGATGAATACCAACCTAAAGAAAAGCTAGTATTTAAAAAAATATGAAATGAAGCACCCTCCCGAGTCAATATTTCTTCTAAACTCTTATTAATGTTTACTTTTCCTTTTTAAGGCATTGTTTTTGTGTTAACAAAAATATATACACAGAAGTAACTGCTGATTATCTCAAATTTTAATTTTATAAAGTGAGAAGCTACATCAAAGCTGTTACTTCTAATACTGTGAAAAACAAAGGGATTTGAGATCATAAAAGATACATTTCTTTTTATATTTTATGAACATAATTTAGGATAACACAATAAATTTTAGAGGTGGTCAGTTTTAATACTGTAATAACGCTGATGTAATAAAGCTCAATAAGTAAATGTGATCACTCCAAAGGATATAGTTTCTCAAGGTATGAGGTGCATGAGAAATATGCTACAAAGAATAATTTCTGTTAAAGGAACCCTACTAATGACATTTCTAACAAGGACATATTAAGACAAATAGGTAATTCTCTCTTTTGTAATACAGTACATCTGTCTATCCAAAAGCCAAGGTCACTTACTTTAGGAAATGGTAGTTCCCTTTTATCTCATTAAGCAAAATCATTTTAGAGTTGAAAATAGACTAGTATTAGCTAAACTGTATAGTATTTGTCTTTATAATGCACAACATCTTATTTTTGTGCCTTTTCACTTTTTGCCATCAAAAGGGGTGAAGATATGCTGACTCAGGCAGTACAGCGAAGCAGTTCAAAGAACAAAAAAACAAACCAAAACGATAAGTAGAATAGGAGGGGTTAAAAATAATTCCAGAGGATAATGAGGTTTAAAGATCTTCTGAAGTTTGGAGGAAATGTGAAGGGGCTTCAAAAATTATGGGGAAAATGGAATTAAAAGATAGTGAAACTTGTACATGAACTTTCTGAAACCATTTTATAAGGCAATCTAATTAAATAAGGCAAATTAGGATTTCATGGTCTCTTTAAACATTACATTTGAAATGATACAATGCTATTCATTTATCAGAGAGAACTGAATGTCTACTTTATTCGAGGAGCTCTGAGAGAAACACAAAGATGAAGAGGCATTCCTTGCCACATGGAACGCAGACCCTAAAAGAACCGAGCTTGCTGTCAGCGAGCCAGTTGCAACTCACAGCAGAAGTCTGTGTATGTAGGGTAAGACTGTATTCTAATATCTTCAGCCTGAGACCTTTTGGAAAATTCCAAGGTACCTTTGGGGGGGCGGGGGGAAGCCCTGAACTGCTCCACCAACCTTTTGACTAGTAGTTGAGTGCTAAATCATTTATACCACCTAAGGATGCCTTATAAATAATGCCAATTCAAAGAGCCACTGGATAAATATTACAAAGAGAAAATGTGTGGAGGAAGTGCAAAACTGAACAACTGATTTTTAATTCTTATTTTGGCCTTTAAAATCCTTCCCAGTACAAACTTAAGCATGGAATACATTTGTCTCAGATTTGTCTTAAAAACCACAGAAACACAAAATCATTAAAAGATGTTCTACTTATAAAAGCAAGATGAACATTCCAAAACGCAAGTGTAAAACCATGCATAGCTTCATTACCCCAAAACATTATTTCCTACTTTAAGTGATATTTTATTCATTCAGATTAAGACACTCTACTAAGTTCAATGTCTTACTAATATTCTTGTAATATTGGTTAAAACTTAAGTGATATTCATTATGTATTAAACAGTTCATTACTCTAATAGGTTTAGTTCATTATTTCAATTAAAGTACTTCCACAAACAATAATTATGGGAAAATCAAAACAATAAAGAACAAATTAGCATTAAGAGTTGTGAACTACACCATGTAAATATTATAAAAGGTAAAGATAAAGGAACCTTGGATTTTATTCCTAACATTTCTAACTTGAATAAAATGGGCAGGTGCTCAAACTTAAACAATTAACTTGTCAAAATTTATGTTCAAATTTTACTAGCATGTTCATAACAACTGTACTCACTTGCTGTTTCAATACAAGGTTCTTCACTCCTTCCATCACAAACTGTGATCCTGTATTCATGACTCTTGATAAGAGACTAGAGGCAGACGAGTGAAAAGATGACAGTAAGTAAAAATTCTCTAGCGTGCTACGTAAAAAACATTTGCATCTCAACGAGCCGCACTAACACGGCAGCTGCAATATCGGCCTCCAACACAGCAATGATTGTGAGGATGGTACAGGCCTGGGTGGTGCTTCACTGTGTTGGGCAGAGTTGGTATGAGGTGGAACTCACTCAGTGGCAACACATTTTTTGTTTGCCTATCTTAAGACATGCACAGAAAGAAAATCTTATTAACAAAAACAGGACAAAATATTATTTGTTAAGGCAAATTCCTGGGAATGGGGTTATGGAGGCATGCTCACGGATGGAACATTGTTTGAAGATGAGACTACCTTGGATTCACTGTGCCAAGCACTTACAGGTCCTGCCTTAGTTTGGGACATTGTTTCTTTAAAACTAGTGGCTCGCAGTGAGGCTTGAAAAACAAGATTTGCTGTGGCCCTCATGAGAGATAAGTGAGAAATTTGGAACTAGTAAGATTTAAGAAAGCTGTATTAAAATAACCATGTTCAGCTTCTTTGAAAAGTACACATGTTATAGAATTTACTAGAGTCAGTCAGACCCAACCTTCCTTGGGGATTTCCTACCTATTTAACAGGATGCCTATATTGCTCTTCAAGAAGCTATATGAAATTCAAGTTTTTTAATGCTCGTAACTAATACAGACTTGAAGCTAGACATTCGTGTTCGCCTAGCTTCAAGTCAATAGTAGTTACCAACATGAATTAAAAAAAGCTTAAACTTTCAGATACTTCCTGAAAATGAAAAATATGTTTCACAACAAAGAAGTACACAAAGTGAATAACTCATACTACTCAAAATAATTGACATTTTAAAATGAGAACTTATACCATCTATGGAAGCCAAAGGCATGTTGACATTTATTCTACATTCCAAATGTCAGAGATTGTGTTTTAAAAGCATGAAGGCCTAATTATAATTTGGAATAAAAAAATTTAATCATAATTATTAAACACTTACCCCATTGATTTAGCAGTAGTGTTGCCATAGCTGGCAGGAGCTGAGGCCATTTTGGCAAAGGCCCTATGAAATAAGAAGGTTATTTTTAAAAGTGGCTCTTTAACAGTTAATATTCAGAAAAATAATTATTAATGTATCTACTGATTCTATGCACACAATTCCTGAAATGAAAAAGAATCTTTCAATTAATGTAACTATACCACAATCAGTACTAATTCTTTTAAAAACATAAGTGCTATAGTTTCCCAAACTTAAAAAAAAAAAAATCGATCATTAAATAACTAAAGCAGGGATTTGCTGACTATATAGTTATTGAATTTAGTGTGTTTATTGTGCTCCACAATCCACACCCACTACCACGAAAGAGCCCGACTCAATGACGTTATATAGGGTTTCCAAGGTAGTGAATTTGAACAGCAGCAGCCAGCCTCATCTTTCTCCCTAGGGAGTGTCTAGTGGATTTGATTTACTGACCTTGTGGTTAGCGGTTCAATGCTTGCCCATAGCACCACTGGGCCTCACCCACAATATATACTTCCTAATTCTCAGAGGAAATCAGACATTTTCTTTATCATTTAAAATCACTTTCTTCAAAAAAAAAAAAAATCACTTTCTTCATGAAAACTTTTTAATTCTACTACCCAACTGATTTCTCTTAATCCTTTCAATGCTTAAATAAAATTTTTAAAAAGAGTTTATGTGTGTGTGTGTAAAAATATACATAGCAAAGGATATACTATTTACTTTCACATCTTTTAAAATGACCAGAATATATGGGTTCTTGAACCCTACGAACCATAAGAAAGGAGAAGGATGGCACTTTTTAAAAAAAATCTTTTTCCTCTGGGAATTTATTTTTTCTATAAAGAATCCAAAAAATATAGAATGCTCCCAGGAAAATCCCACCACTGTGTGGTAACCACTGTTAGGTTTAGTAATATCACATTTTTATGTCATCCAGCTTTTATAATTAATTATCACAATGTTTTTGTGTACTAAAGGCACTTAAGTACAAAAAGGTTTTGAAAAGTAAAATTAGAATGGGAATCACTAAGATGTGGCTCCTGCAATGGTAAAAATATTCTATCCTCAATCTTGACAAAATCTGCAAATATTATCATTGTAATATGTAAATGTAAGAATTTGTCTTGCTCAGAAAGCAAGCTGATTCAATTTTATGTAGCCAGTAGAGTGCAACATCCATTCTTAACAAAAATGTATAACTTCACAAGAGAAAATTATACCTAAACAAAACAGAATTAAAGACTGCCATAATAAAAATTTATGGAAAAACAATTAAAAATTATATCTGTAACAGTTAATTCCCAGGTTTAGAAATATAGTATGTTATGTGCACAGAAATGGAAGGATATACCAATGTTTATCAGTAGATCTGTTGATGGTGAAATTACAAATAAATTTTTATTTTCTTCATAGCTTTCTAAATTTTTCCCAATAAACTAGTATAATTCTTATCAACAGTAAGAAAACTAGAAGTTACAAAGTAGAAATATATAATTTATAATCATGGGAACTGATGCCTACGAACGGCTGCCTCTAAACCAGTGGTTCTCAACCTGTGGGTCGCAACCCCTTTTGGGGTCGAACGACCCTTTCACAGGGGTCGCCCAATTCATAACAGTAGCAAAATGCCAGTTATGAAGTAGCAAAGAAAATAATTTTATGGTTGGGGGTCACCACAACATAAGGAACTGTATGAAAGGGTCGCAGCATTAGGAAGGCTAAGAACCATGACTGTAAACCAAATGATACTGAATTGATTCTGACTCATGGTAACCACCAGGTGTGTAAGAGAAGAACTTGGGGTTTCAAAAGCTGATTTTTCAGAAGTAGGCCACTTGGCCTTTCTTCTTAGGCACTCAAGTGAGCTCAAATCACCAACCTTCTGGTTAGCAGCTTTGTGCAATCCCCACCCAGGGACTCAACCTTTCTACACAAGTCATAACCTAGCAAACATGGACATGTCCCACACTTCCAATGTGGAAGTGTATACTTTACAAATATTGGAAAAGATCGTTTCAACATTCTTTTAAAACAAATACTTGCTGGTTTTTTTTATTTAACTATTACAACAACATAGTCAAAAAAGGAAACTCGGAGAAAAATGCATAGAAAATAAAAAGTACTCAGGTATCAGGCATCTAAGACCCAGAACAACACCATCCCCAACGTGAATGGGGAGGGCGGGACGGCATGCATGGAGTGGACATCCCCTCACAGAGGGGTCACAGGGAAGGGATGAGCCAGTCAGGGTGCAGTATAGCACCGATGAAACACACAACTTTCCTCTAATTCTTTGGTGCTTCCTTCCCCCCACTATCATGACCTCAATTCTGCCTTACAAATCGGAGTAGACCAGAGCATGCACACTGCTACAGATAAGAGTCTGCAACACAGGGAATCCAGGATAGATAAACCCCTCAGGACCAACAAGGAGAGTACAGCTACCAGGAGGATTAGGGGAGGGTGGGAGAAGAAAGGGGGAATCAATCACAAGATCAACCTAGAACCCCTCTCAGGGGGACGAATAATGGAAAAGTGGGTGAGGGGTGATGGAAGAAGATGTAAGACATGGAAAAAATAATCTAACTTATCAAGGGTCGTGAGGGAGGGTGGGTGGGGGAAGAAATAAGGAGCTGATATCAGGGGCTCAAGTAGGAAGAAAATGCTTTGAAAATGATGACGAGGGCATATGTACAAATGTGCTTGACACATTGGAGGAATACATGGATTGTGATGAGACATAAAATCCCCCAATAAAAGTATTTAAAAAAAAGTACTCATTCATAACCTAGAACAGAGGTCCTCAAACTACGGCCCGTGGGCCACATGCGGCCCGCCGAAGACATTTATCCTGCCTGCCGAGTGTTTTTGTCCCGTTTTGGTTTTTACTTCAAAATAAGATATGTGCAGTGTGCATAGGAATTTGTTCATAGTTATTTTGAGGTCAGAAGCATATTTAATATTATATTCTAAAATTTTATTGTTTTTCTCAGGTCAGGTATTTTGTTCACTGAAGAAAATATGCAAAATAAAGCATCCAAAAGGAAAATATTAAATCACTTGAGTTATCCACCATTCATATTTAGGCATATGTCATTCCATTATAGAATTATGTGGATATATTGTACTTTAGTAGATACACATACATAGATGGATAAATGGATGCAGGATTCGGATCATACTGTAAAAAATATCACCTTTCCAAAAGTTTCATTATCACAACAAATTTAAGCATCAACTCCCAACAAATTGGTATTACTCAAGTCTTATTTTCTTTGTAACACTTTAGCATGATTTAACATTGTTCTCTTGATTTATTTGCTTAATTGTTGATCTTTTTGTACTTCCAACACAAATCTAATTTCAGTGAGTATAGGGATATTGTTTATCATGTTCACAACTGTAGTCCCAATGTCTAGTAGAGTCCTTGGGATAAAGGACAGATGTACTTAACAGATAAATAAAAAAATAGTGTTATATACTTCTGTTTCCCCACTTAACAAAATAACATGGACATTTTCAAACATCATTAGTTTTCAACAACATGATTTTTAACGCTTCAATTGTATTCTATCTCTAAAATGTCATAATTCTTAAATCCTGATGCTAAGCTTTCAGGTCAAGTTAATTTTCAAAATTTCATTATTAAATTGCTTCTAAGATTATATGACTCCAGTGATATCCGTGGGATAAATTCTTAAAAGTAGAAGTGCTAGGTCAGAACTTCTTTTCAAAGCTTTTTTATAGCAACCAGGAATAAAAAAAGGTTAATTTATAACTATAGTAGCAGAGTCTGAATGTATAACA